GCAGATCAACGGCTCGCCCGAGAAGTTCGCCGAGCTCGCGTCCAAGTACAGCGACTGCAGCTCGCACTCGCACGGCGGTGACCTCGGATTCTTCAGGCCGGTGCGTCGCATCCCGTTGCACTCGTATCACCGTGATTGATGCCGAACTGCGTATCGCGGTGTATAGGGCCAGATGCAGAAGCCGTTCGAGGACGCGACGTACGCGCTCAAGGTTGGCGAGATCAGCGACGTCGTGAGCACGGACAGCGGCGTCCACCTCATCCTCCGGACGGCTTGAATAGACGTCCATCGACTGTTATATGCTGTTACGAAGACGATGGGCTCGATAGAGAAGGAGAGCATAGATGTCAGGTGAAGAAGTCTCGTTCGGTGTAAGTTGTAACTTTATGCATGTACACGGTACGTTGTAGTCGGATGCACCGCGTCATCTCGGCTAGCTTTCAAGCCAGCTCAGGCCCTGCTCAAGCGGTCCGAATGGCATATCAAGTCTCGATCTTCAACTCTGGATGTTAATCTCAATCGAGCTTCGGTGAGTTCGTAATCATACACGAGAGTACATGTGTTCGAAGCAACAACAACGAAGCAATCCGCAACCGAGTCTGGGTGCGCGTCTATCATAAAGGGATTATGCACCGCACACCTCGCACGCAATCAGATCAAGTCGTGGCCCTGCATCTCTTCGTACTTCTTCGGGTTGATGTCGCTACGCGTCTTCTCCGCGACCTCGCGGTCAAAGTTCCAGGACGCCTTGAGGCCAACTCTCTGTGAGGAGGAATCAGTCACAATGGTTCGCGAGGTAGCTGTACAGGGTGATAGGACGCACCTCGAAGAAGTCCTTGATCTGCCACCCGTCGCAGTGGTCGAGGTCGGTGCCCTTGTCGCGCAGGGCAGCGTAGGACTTCTCCATAGCAATCGCAGCCGGAACTATACGACAAATACAATGAGTACCCTTCGCCCTTCGTATCAATCAATCTACGTACTGAAGCCGGTGCACGGGTAGATGGCGAGCTTGAACCCGAGGCGCTTGCAGTCCTCGGTGGTGTAGTTGCCCGTCAGGCCGTTCGGGAGGACGTTGATCATGCACGGGTGGGGCGCAAGCGCCTTGACGAGCCGCTCCGCCTCGTCCTTCGTCCGCGGGCTCTCCATGAACGCCATATCTGCGCCAGCGTCGAGTGCCGCTTTGAGCCTGCCGTGAGGTGAGTACAAAGAGTAGCCCTAAGCACAGCCATCCGTCGCGGCGCACCTCTTCACGCCTTCCTCGAAGGCCTCCTCGCCCGCGTTCTCGCCGCCGAACTTGGTCGCGTTGCGCGCGTCCGTACGGGCGATGATCAGGAAGTCCGGGTTCTGCTTCGCCTTGACGGCGGCGACGATGCGCTCGAGGTACGTCTCGAGGTCGACGACGTCCTTGCCCGCGAGCTGGCCGCAGCGCTTCGGGAACGTCTGGTCCTCGATGTGGCAGCCCGCGACGCCGGCGGCCTCGTAGAGCGCGACGGTGCGCGCGACGTTGAGCGGGCCGCCGAAACCGGTGTCGGCGTCGGCGATGACGGGGGCGTCGCAGACATTGACGATCATGCGCGCGGTGTCGGCGAGCTCGGTGCCGGTGATGACGGAGAGGTCAGGCTCGCCGATGACGGAGCCCGAGGCGCCGCTGCCGGCGAGGTAAAGGGCGTCGAAGCCGGCGGCGTTGGCGATGTGTGCGGAGATCCCGTCGAAGACTCCCGGGCAGATTATGCAGTCCTCTGTGAAGAGAAGAGCGAGTGAGGTTAGGGTATTTGGCTTGGCATTCTAGGGAAGAGGTGGAGCGAGGGAGCCTCAGGGAGGAGGAAAGGAGGAGGAAAGGGTGTACTGACTCTCCTTCATGAGCTGCCGCAGCTTCTTGGGCTGGTTGGTCTTGTACGCGACGGGGAGATTCATGATAATTGTCGATGTTCGTGAAGATCGGGCAGCTCAGAGGTGGGTGATTCGAGTAGAATGTGTCTGAGCACCTGTCGGCAGGAGGCAGGTATATAGCACCGCAGAGGAGCCTTGCTGCAAGTGTATTGGATGACTTCCCGTAAGGATTTAGAGACGTCTCCAAATCTCTAAACCTCTCTAAGCGCCGTGGAGCTCACCGAAATGGCAGGTCTGCCGAGATACCGAGCGAGATTTAAAGTCCGCAGGTGGGGCCGGCGAGCTGCAGACTAGAGAAGCGCCCAACATCTGGAAGGGGGGGTCGACCCCCCCTTCTAAACCTCCGGCGACGCTCTAAACTGCTCTAAACGAGCTAAAAGGGAAGGCGCAAGCACATAAGAGGAAGGTAGCCACCTGGGCCATCAGCGGTACATTCCATTTGCGTCGCCCCGGAGCAGCTGAGTAAGCTGCACATTCCCGGCGCTCAAGGCTGGGCAGCAGGTGGGGCCAATTTGAAGCTCCGCTTGTATCTCGCAAGGATCTAAAGTTTAGAGATTTGGAGACGTCTCTAAATCCTTACGGGAAGTCATCCATTCTTAGAACATCGCGGTGAGGACCATGGCGTCGTGGTATATTTGGAACGCGTCCCTGCCTGAGGTGGGGGAATGCGTCAGCATGACTTCAGAGTGGATCCTCAGCAGCGTTGTGCAGCCTGCAGAGACTGCCTGAGAAGAGGTATGAAGTCCAGACCTATCTTGACGCAGACATAGGTAGGATTACACAAGCTCCAGATAACAGGCGATGCATTGGAGCAGATAAAGGACGTACTGGAGGACGAAGAGGACAAGGTACGCAAGAGCAAGCGCAGCACAGTCACGATCCCGCCAAGGGCAGCTGTGATGACGTCGTTGAGCGTCGTTGGCGGTCAATATGCGACTCGGCGTTCTCCGGCAACTTTGACGCCCGTGACAAGGTACGGGATCCGGGGAAGCGCCCGTGGTGACGGAGCCATGGCAGTTTCCTTTTCCTTGCACGAGCTGCTGCTGGATCACTGGCACGCGTTGTACGCCCGCTCTGGCGCACCCGCATCCCTCACCTGGACCGCTTCCGTCCTCGCCCTCTCTCTCGCCGGCCTCTTATGGACCGTCTGCAGGAAAGCCGGGGCGCGCGCGGGTGCCGCGCGCAATGTGAAGCACATTCCTATAGGGGCGAACGGACGTGCTGCTGCTGTGTGCCCGCCAGAACAGCTCAAGGATGACCTCAACGGCGGTTTTGCAAACGCGTATGCCTTGGAACATGAGTCGACGGTCCCCTTCGACGTGGGCGACGTCCGGGTGTCCAAGATTCTCATGCATCCTATAAAGGTGTGTGGAAGTGCTCAGGGGCGCACGCTTGTGGCTGAAGCGAATCCATGCACAGAGCTGCCGCGGAACATCTCTGCAGGAAGCCCGTTATACACCAGAGGGTTTAGAGGTACGTCCCGTTTTCATAGACAAGGCGTCCTTCTTCTCGGATTGCAGACTTGCTACGGTCGCTAGCCGATCCTTTCCTCGCTGGGCACATCTTCCGGCCTCGGGCTACCCCCTCCTGCGCGGGCATCCGTCCATGACTGCTGACTATGTACACGCAGAACGATAGAAAATGGTGCATCATAGAAGCAGACTCGCACGCTATCATCACCGCACGGGAAGTCTCCAAGGTACAAGTCCTCTCCCATTTAGACGGCATCCCCTTCTCACACGACGCCGACGCTAGATGGTCCTCATCACGCCTCGCGTAGAACTAGATGCCACCTCGCCGTTCGGCGGCAGACTCGTCATATCGTTCCCAGCGGACTCCGGATGCGAGACGTTCGCCATCCCCCTGAATCCCACACGAGACGTGCTCGCCGACTGGCCCATGTACGTAATCCACCCTTCCTTCCGCACACCTCCACCTCTTACTATTATCACCTGCACAGGATCGAAGACTGCACGATGTTCGGAAAGGTGTTCGTCGACGGCTACGTCGTCTCCGCCACGCTCTCCGACTCCGACTCCGTCCCCGCGCGCACGCCCTCCGAGATCCTCTCCGATTACTTCGGGCGCGCGGTACACCTCGTCATGAAAGGCCCGCGCGCGCGGCCCTGCCCGCCCACGCAGGCCTTCCCCGACCTTCGCGAGACCGCCGCGTTCCAGGACGGGTACCCGTTCCTTGTCGCGAGCGAGGAGAGCCTGGAGGAAGTGCGACGTGTCGTCAGCGCGTATGCGCAGGACGAGAGCCCGGAGGGGAGGATCGGCGGGATCGATAGGGAGAGGTGGAGGGCGGGTGGGGTGGAGATCGAGAGGTTCAGGCCCAATATCGTGCTGAAGGGCTCTGGGGTGCCCTTCGCTGAGGACATGTGGCGGAAGATACGTATCCATCCCGCCTCGGACTCCACGAGCGACAGCGCTTCCCCAGTTGAGCAAGATGAGGACGCACGGACCTTCACGCTCGTCTCGAAATGCACGCGCTGTCTCGTACGTCGATCTCCCCCTTCTACCCTTCTCGTGACTTGACCTGGTCTCCCTATCCTGCAGCTGCCGAACGTCGACACGACGACGGGCACGCGTGACGCGGCTGTGCCGTACAAGGTGCTGCTCAAGTTCCGGCGGAACAAGGACCCTGCGCGAATGACCAAGCCGTGCTTTGGCTGCAATGCGGTCGTCGGCGGAGAGGGCGTCGTGCGCGTTGGAGACCGGATTGAAGTACTGCAATGGGCGAGTGGCATTGGGGTGTAAGAGGCCCCTTGGAGGTTTGGGGAGGATATTGTAAGGAGTACATCTACGACGGTGTTAGGAGGCCTTGGTTCATCTGGGGCCTGTGCGATGCTTGCTGCTAGTCTGTTGCTCTGCCAGACTCGACTTGTTTGTAGATTCACTACGAGTAATACTATCGTACGTTGCTCCTGTAGTTGTGTAACTTTTGCAACTTCGCCGAGTGTCTGTCGAGTCAAGAGAGTCTCCAGTTACGCACGTGCTCAGCTGCTTGGTATCACTTCGACACGGGAGCATGCCTAGGAGTGCTGGTCGAACATGGGAACAAGGGCTACAGGGGGCAAAAAGTGTCACCGAGGACAATACAAGGAGTAGCTCTCTGTCGGGGAGTCGAACCCCGCTTTCGCGCGGTCAGCAGTACGACATCATCGCTTGTGACAGGCGCGTGTACTAACCGATATACTAACAGAGAGTTGCGTCTTCGCCTCCTGTAGTATATCCGGCACGCCTGCAGGACGGGTTCGCGATTGCAACACGATCGCGAGTCGACCGCTGCAGTCCGTCGAGATGGTTTCGTCGACTGCTCGCCGTCTGCTCTGCTCGCTTCCCCTCCGACGCGCCTCCTCCCTCGCCCTCGCCGCACGCATCGTCAACACCGCACGTCCCAGCCCGTCCCACCCCGCACGCACGATGAGCACCCACCCGTCCCTCTCGCTCGTTTCCACTCCCAGTGAGCACCAGCATCCCACATCCTCCTCATGACCAGGCCTCGCTCACAAGCACGCTCCGCTTTCGTCGACGCCGTCCCCAAACAGACGCACCCGCCGCCGTAGGCCCCTACACCCAGGCCGTCCGCGTCGGCGACCTCCTCTTCCTCTCCGGCTCCCTCGGGCTCGACCCCGCCACCGGCAAGATGGTCAGTCGTTGCTGCACTTGCACGTGTACCTGCTCCTCCGCTAACATTCGTCGATGCTCGCACGTTGCGTAGGTCGAGGGCGGCGTCGAGGAGCAGGCCAGGCAGGCGCTCAAGAACATGAAGGCGATCATCGAGGCCGGCGGGAGCTCGGTCGGCAAGGTCGTGAAGACCACTGTACGTGCTCCTTCCTAGGCTCGAGCTCCATGGCTGGGCGAGTTGCGCGACGCTCAATGGGAACGGTGTGCTGCACAGGTGTTCTTGCACTCGATGGACGACTTCAAGGCCGTCAACGCGATCTACTCCGAGTTCTTCGGCGACCACAAGCCCGCGCGCTCCGCCGTGCAGGTCGCGCGTCTCCCGCTCGACGCGCTCTTCGAGATCGAGGCCATCGTGAGGTGAGTAGGCCCGTGCCGACCTTGTTTAGGCGACGGGGCTTATGTTCTCTGGGCGTGTAGCGTCGCGTGATGCGTTGAGGAGTGCAAAGAAGAGAAGTCTAAGAGTCACTAGGCGAAACAATGTAACGATATCTAGCAAGCAATATGCAGCGTCCTAGAGCGGAAAGTCTTGTCTCACGGCGTCTTGGCGCGTTTCTGCTGGCAGCGATGGGCACTGTTCCGCCGCCGAGACATTACACTGGCATTACAGCGACCTTTAAGCCGCAAATGGTCGAGGGCGGTTCTGGCCGCTGCCCAAGAGCAATAAGCGAGGAGCGGGAGCGGCAGCCAAGCCGAAGTGGTATAAGTTACACTTATCCTACAAGACGTCTCATGCGTAACAAGCCAAATCCACAAGCCGAATCCACCTCCAAGCTCCATAACCAATTCTCGCTCAGAACATACCCTGCCTCTTCGGCAGCTCAACAGGCGGTGGGCGGCCCGACGCCGCACTCCCAGGACGGTCCCTCGACCTCGGCGGCGGAGCCGGACTTCCGCGGGGCGGCCTCATGAAACCGTTCCCCTCATTCGTCGGGGTCTGGCTCCTGAACGACGCCGCGCTGGCTGTGCGCGGAGGGATAGGCATCGGAGAGCGCGTCCTTGACGATGGCGGGGAGCGTCCAGGGGACGCTGATACGGGCGTCGGCACAGCGAGGGAGGGCACTGCCGAGGGAGGTGGGTTTGCGGATGGCGGGAGAGGGGGCACGGCGGGGATGGGCGTGCGCGAGCGGGACGGCGCTGAGCTCGAGGCGGGCGCGGGGGAGCGCGAGCGCACGGGGGTGGACGCGGGGGTATGGATCGGGTCAGGCGCGCGTTCGGTGTGCGTGCGGAAGTGCGGCGGGCGACTGCTCTCTTTGGGCTTCTCGACGAGGAGGTTGTCGAGCAGGAAGCGGAAGTCGATGCCGTACTCCTCAAGGAGCTAGAACGGGTCTGTCAGCAGCGAGTGTCTGGTACAGGAGGGGTACGCACCTTCTTGCTCTGCAAGTGGGTAATCTGGATGGCTTCGTCAATTGTCGCAGGATCGACGTCCGAGCTGTAGACCTGCTTCCTGAACATCTCCGCGAACAGTTCGATCTGCTGTTTCGCCCACTCCACAAAGCCTGAAGGCCATCAGCATCTCATGAGCCCCAAGCAATTCGATGGACTCACTGCTAGCGACCTCGTTCTGGTTGAAGCTCGCAAGGAACCAGTCCGCCGTATGCTTGATGCCCGTGAACATCACCGTCGCCAGATCGGCAATATACATTCCGATATGACCTTCGAACGTGATCTTCCGCACGCACTTCCTGATCACGTCCGCCCGGGCAGCGAGAAACGTGCTCCGCGCGGCCGCGCCCGCCTTCAACCTCACGAGCAGCCCGATCAAGCTCACCACCGTCGACTTCTTGTTCGACGGCGCTGAGAGGCTCTGGAGGAGCGCAGCGGTGAGGGAGGCTTTGAGCGGCGTGAGCTTCGCCGCGAGCGGGGGCACCACGCTGAGCTTGCCCTCGCCCTCCTCCACGAGCGCGACCGCGCGGTCCCATTCGCGCAGCGCGATCGCGACGGTCAGGTCGTCGGACCAATCGCCGATCCAGCGTGCGTCGCGTTCCGCTTTCTCCTTCGCGGTGGCGCCCATCTCGCCGGACTTGGTGGCGAGGTCTGCCATCCACTCGGGTAGGGGTGGGACGCCCTCGCCCGTAAATGCAAACGACCCTCGCTATGTCTTGAAGGTTAGTGCTGCGGTATGAGCTTGAGGCGGGCGTTACGCACGTCACCGCCCATCCACATGCTCTTGCGCCGCTGATGCTCGCCTTCGCGCTCCTTGCGCTTCTTCGCGGCGAGCTCCTCAGCAACCTGCCGGAACTGCGAAAGGAGGTTCTTCTTGTCTACAGATATCTCGGTGCGGTATACGTGCGTCTCCTTGCCATGTCGGATCTTGAACACGTTCGTCATATCTGGGACCGGCTGTCAGTACCAGGTGCGGTTGTTCCAGCTCAGAAGAGACTGACTGGGGGTATCCTTTGTGTCCAAGACCAGCATCTCGTTGAGCGGCCAGCATCGCTCCGCGACCAGCTTGTCCGCCTCGGCGTTGTTCCTTCTCTTACGCTTGCGTGCTACGAGCACCGCGTCGTCCAGCAGCACGAAGCGGACGGGGTGGTCCACCTTGTATGTGGCGGGGTTGAGCGCGACGACGTTATCGACCTCGGTGATGACGTGCCGCCCCGGTGTAGTCGGCACGAACTTGGACGAGCCTTCGATCTGCATGTGCAAGTTCTGCATCTGGTTCGCGTATAGAATGCGTAGGTCAGCGATGGAGGAGCGGACGTTCCGTCTTCGCTCTACGCGAGCACCCGTCAGCGAGACTGTCGCATAAGAAAGACATGAGGGCAAGTACCAGCGACAGAGGCGGAATCATCGATATGCAAGAGAGAAGGCATGCCCTTCCATTCCGCGAGCGCCTCCTTGAACTCGAGCATTTCGTTCTCTAGCGTGCTGACTTCCTTGGAGACGAGCATGAACTCCGCGTAGCTATCGTTGGACGGTTAGGCACAGCTTGCGGTAGCATGGAATATACGGACTTCTTGAATACGTTCTTCTGCAGGTCCACCGCGACACCATCCTTCTGTGCTTGCAGAGAGGATTGCAATGACCTAAGCTCAGCCTCGGTCGAGTTGGCCAATTTCAGCTTGAGATCTATACACCGTTCATGAGAAGAAGCGGACCGCAGGCACATTCTTGCATACGCACAAGCATCCGGGTCGAAGTTATCCTGATCCAGCAACCTAAGCTCTGACACCATGGGGTCCTCCTTGGGTTCCTCCGTAAAGCGTTCCTCCTCCTGCATGTACGGCGTCGCGTGCAGGCCAATCGGGATCGCGGGCACATCTGGGACAGATGCGTCGGTCGGCGCAGAGATGTCGGCGTAGCGCATCGACATGCGCTTCTTCATCTTCTCCCCGACGCGGGTCGCGCGACGCTCTGCATTTCTGGGAGCGGGTTTGGCGGCGCGTACGGTGCCCTGGCGCTGTGCGCCCTTGGGGCGCGACTCTGAGGGCTTGCGGGACCGGAGAGACTGCATCCTGAGCGAAGGTGTGTATTTGTCCTTGGGATAGCAAAGCCGCGGCTGCAAGCGGTCTCCAGTCGGGCAGAGGTCGACTTAAGTATTTGCTGCCGCTCAGAGAAGTAGCCTACAGGTAGTCAGAGAAGCGAGATTCCTGGCGGAGGGTATGGTGGATCGAGGGTGAGGTACTACTAGCTTTTGTAATACTACTGCGTCGCACTGGCAGGCCGTAACGCTTAGCACCGATCGTGTTCTCAATATGGCAAGTGTCGTAGTTCGAACGACGAGGGCCCTCCCCCCTTGGCAAATCATGATGAGTCACGCAAGGACTGTTCATACCTCTTATGTTTTCTCGAGTCGCCATTGTAAGCCTCCTCTACAGTCAGGATTGAGCGCACTTAGGGAAAATGTGGTAGGCACCCACAAGGAAACCCTAACCCAGTGGTCGGCAGTGCCCGTGACGAGCGCCTCTTCGAAAGTATCACGTCTTGGCTGCCAGTCGCCATCATCCACTCATCCCTGTGAACCGCTCTGCTTCTGCCGTATGCCTGGGACACTCTCCAACGGCGATGATCGTAAAGTCGAAGCCGCAACTGGGTCGGCATCAAACTCTCTAGAGGCGGATATAGCTCTGCTGTCCAGCCTTCTATCCCAGAATGTCGACGAATCCGATCCTGACGTCGCCGAACTGCTCCGGAGACTCGAGGCAGCGGAGGGCATTGCAGATGGAGTGGAGAGCCGCCTTGACGGCATAATAGGCCATCTGGACAGTCTGCTCGGCGACTTGGAGACCCAGGCTTCTCCCGGACAAGGTGAAAGCCGTGCGGTCATGGTGACCCACGTCGAAGAAGAGGTGGTCGTCGCCACATCTGCTCCGGAGAAAGCGCAAGAGGGGGAACAGAAGTGAAGGTGAGTGTTGCCGATGAGAACCTCGTCGACAGTCAGGAGAGCTCGTGTTCGCAGTCTTGTTCGAGGATGGTCGTGCCGGCCGTTCGAAAGATGCTGCGTCAGTATGCGCTCGCCCCGTGCAATAAAGGCAGTCCTCCGAGATGCAATTGCAGACCGCATACACTGGGCAACCT